AAAAGACGTTGCCTCAGATAGCAAAAATATGGGGCAAATCAAACCAATGTCAACTAGTTAGTATAGAAAACACAAGTTGACACGAGTTTATGGATGCTACAGCCAAGCAATAGATGCTATAGAAGCTAAGATATGTGAGACAGCCACGCAATGAATGCCAAGAACGGGGAAAGGGACAGGTAGAGGGGGGCCGAAAGAGACAGCCAGCTGGAACAACGAAAGAGACGGGGCAACTATGGCGGCGGGCGTCCTTCCGCTTTGTTGTGCTTATTGGCGAGGGGAAATAAAGGGGGAAAAGCGGCCAAAAGAAGGCCAAAAGGAAAAACACAACAAACAACAGATATCTGGTGAGGAATCGCAAAAAGGACGGCTGCCAGCATCGTGCAAAATGCCAAGGAAAATGAAAAATAAATAGCAGAAAATGCAATTGAAATTTTTGGGCCGCAAACAATAATAAGGACAACGAAGACAAACAACTGTTGGCCAAAAAAAGATACTTCTTTTAGATTGCCAAAGTATGATTTCTATACAAAAACTAATTTTTTAACATTTGTGCGATCTTTTTAACGTTTTAATATAATAACCACTTTAAACTAGTCAACAGATGGCCTATGCAAAATTTGACTACAAGAAAGCGCATTTTTTTTTTTTTGTAATTTTTGAATAGGCCCTTGTAAGAAAGTTAGATTTTTAAAATATTATTACAAATTTGTGTATGGAACGCTGCAGTTATTTATGTAAGAAAAAACAATAAAGGACAAATAGCAGAACGCACCAGAAATTGCTTACATAATCACAAAAATACATAGTCAGCGTCAGGGAAAGAGAGAGCATGACTCGAATAGAAAGAGAGAGGGCGAGGGAGCCTTGGAGCCTGTGAACTTGGCTTTCAATGTTGTGTGACTTGAACTTGAATTCGCTTTTCGCCGACAAAACGGCACGTGCTGGGAAAATCGAAAAGCTTTTGGCTCTCTTAAAATTGGCCCGGGCTCTCTTTGGCAAATGAAAATCCTCCCTTTTGCATTAAAAATGCGAGTGACGCAAGTTATCAAAAATTTATCAGCAAAAGGAGAAGAGCAACAGGAATAACAATGATGTGCCATTCTGCTCAGAAAAAGAAAACAAAAAAACTATTTTGGGCCATAATTTAGATTTCTTTTTTCTTTCGAGGATGCGGATGCAAACAGGTTGTTTGCTCGGTAGACAAAGGAACTGGAACGGTGTCCCCAATTTTAGAGTAGCTTCCACAGCTCGATTTTGGGGTTGAGAAAAGGCGGCCGAAGCAACCAGAGAATTGGCCAAATTAAATTTTAATAATTAAATGCACACAAGGACGGAGGCACGTGCAAAATTTGCATGCCAAACTCGGTTAAGAACTCAGCTCAGTGAGCACATGCCGCTGCATAAATAAAATCGCTTTCAAGCGCCCACACTCGACACACCAAATGACAATGACAGGGATGAATTTCGAGTCCTGGTTCCAGGATGTTCCCGCCAGGCAATGTCAACTTTGATTGAACGGACAGGACGACAGGGAACAGGGATCCCTCCACGATTGAGAGGACTCGTCCACCGAAAGCATTTGCATAAGACTGCGGGACTTACACAATGGCAAAGAGCAGAGGCGGAAAATGCGGAAAAGCGGATTGGAAAGTCGGCAGAGGAAATCATGTAAATCGCAAAGGACGCATTTATGCAGGCAAAATAGTCGTTAGTGAACAAATCGGGAGGAGCTCTTCAGCAAAATCGATACAAATTATTTTGAATTATTTTTCGTAATCAAGTCGTTAGCCCAAGGAGCATTTGAAATTTGCAAGCTGCTTTGGCATATTTCATTTGAAAAATAATGAGGGAGTATTAGGCAGGATTAAATAATATTTATACAATTTTTCGGGCCGCAATTAAATTATGTATTTGTAATTTAAATTTATAGTTTGGCCAAGTTTAAGCTTCCGCAGCAGTATGAATTGATGTGGAAAATATGTAAATACCTTTAATACGAACCCCATCCTGTGTGGCTTTTAAATCAGACGCATATTATGCGAGCTTAGTATACATAAATTTACTGAAGCAAATTCAATTCGCATTCCTATAAAGCACAATGAAACTGTCTCATATGCTCTTTCACATATTTATAAAGACCCTACGCCAAGCTGATCCCAAGAAATCTTAGCAAAATCCCAGAAAAGGCAAGAGGAATGGCTTAGATAAACTACAGAGTCCTTGGGACCGTCGCACGTAATTCATTTTTATGAGCTGCCGCAACTTGTTGGCTCTGGACAGTTTTGGTTTTAGCCAACTTAACGAAAACAAATGATAATCATTTCGTTCTTATTTCCCGTCCGAAAATGCAAATAGCCCGAAAAACAAGTCGGCAACTTGGCTTGGCTAAATAGATAAATAGAAAGTCCTTCTCATGGCCAAGGTCGTCTACCTTTTTTTGTTTTTGGGACGACTGCCAAATTGCTGCGACTCAGTTGCAGGAAAATAACCGCGAACAATGGCGAACAAAAGCGAAAAAATCACAGAGGAAATCCTGCAGACAGACGACAGCGACAATAAATATACTCGACTGCAGACAAGTCCAAGGATAAGCCCATAATTAACTTGGCCAACACAACATGTCGAAGCTGAGCGAGAGCAGCTTAAATTGAAATTGCCCTTCCAGGACAAACAAGAAAAAAGGACATATAAATCATGAGGGGGAGAGTTAGGCAGTCTACGGAAAATTGTTGCACAAAAATGCGTTGTAATTGCCGAAATCAAATGGCCGTAATTTACGTTGACAAGGACGACATGGAGGCAGAACTACGCTTTTATTTATGCAAATCTCCGAGCACAGGATGTGTGCGTGTGTGTGTGTGTGTGTGTGTGTGTAGGTGGACAGTTGAGGAGCTGCTGGCCAAAAATGTTCCATATTAGAATTATGCAAATAAGGCAGTTCACGTCGATGCAGGATTCAGATTCTGTCGGGAAAAAAGGGGAAGGAAGACAAGTGTGCTTAGGTATGCCTAAATGTCCTTGGGCCCACATCCGATCGGAGTTTGTCGAGCTGCGAACAATGGCAGGCAATTTGAGGGACAAGTTTAAGCTGTTTGAAATGCTTAATTTGAACCAATTTCATTTCAAGTTTGCAACGAAAACTTTTGTTCGTCTGCCCGAACGCTCAGACCTTTGGAAATTCGCATGCACATGCTGCTAATGGCAACAATGGCCACATTAAACAAGTTTTTACACCCTTAGTTTTTAAATTTAAGCTCAAGCTTTTTCTAACCAGAATGAACGCCAGTTGCTTTATTACTTATTGTTCAGCGATTGGATAGAAAAGGTATACAAAAACATTTATATAACCTTAATGCCTTGAGTCGATTCTTGACAACTGATTCCAATAAATTAGCCAGAAACAATCAATAATGTACGATGCCTCTTTAGGATCCAATGTATACGTTTAAGAACATGCCCTTTATGACTCAAATATCCCAAATTAGTTCCAGCTACATCCAACTACTCGAAGTGACTGTAATGTGACACATTAAGTGGCACGAATTCAATTTTTCCCGAAACGGTTGGCCGGAAAAGCCAGCCTGGAATGCCTTTGATCAGCGACTCATCAGTTGGTAAAAATAAAAAAAGGAAAAATAAAAAATAATAATGTGAGGACAAGCCGCCGCCGCATACAGAATACTTTAAAAGGAATTCTGAAGGTTCCTTCGCTCGGAGATATTTATGTATAAATTTTTTCTTTTCTTTTTTCGGAGGCGATGGGAAGGTGAAGGACATGGCATCGCATGTCCTTGCGCTTAGTGGCTCTATGTGTGTAATATAGGGCAGATATCCGTTGCTTCTTTTCCCCCGTAAATCAACGGAGCTGGAGAAATCACTTAGGACCATGACGCTGCCCTGATAAGTTGGCGGTTTTTAAATTAATGGAGACGTTCGCCTTGCTCACGGTTTTCTGCCCCCCAGAAGGCTATTAAATGGGTGTGCGGCTTCTGTACTTTACTGCATGCTTAGATTGCATTTTGTAGCCCCAGATTTTTGATAATTCATTGCTTGAATTTGTAGCCATTCTTTGATTTTGAGAGCGCTGTCTTAAATTTCAATTGATTGAACATGATTTGTGATAACCGACAGAGCGCCATAAAAATTACACTTTATTAAACACAGCCGACGAACCCCAAGTAAAAGCTTTCCATCAAGCTTTTCCAATAAGATGGCCCTTAGCTGATTTTCCAACTCTTTGCAGCTTTCGAAGCTTTCAACTGTTACTCGGCAGCTTATTAACATGGGCTGTTAACTAAGTTTTTTAAAAATTCAAATCTTAAACATAATAAAACTTACACTATTGAAAACCTGGACGCGATTTTCTTGGGAACACTCACCTGCAATGAAAGAAACAGAATTTCATTATTCAAAAGTTGACAAGTCGGTTGAGAAAAAATCAATACAGTAAAACGCACGCTGAAGTGCACTTAGGAAAGGTATTCACACTCACACACAATGCACTGAGAGAAAATAGGTAAACCTAATATTTTATTTCAAATTAAAATTGGCACACTGTATGGCCTCATATGGCTTACCATCGATATGCTTTAAATAACCCTAACTGGCACTAAATTTTCCTCTCGTTTTAAATGCATTTCAATGTTTAAACATTTTCTTCCGGTTTTTATACACAAGAAGAGACATCTTTTTGTTGCCGTTCAGTAGTCATCAAGTGGCCCCCAGGCGACGAATGGCGAACAAGCTGAGGCGATGAAAAGGGGCTCAGCAGACCACTTAACCTTGATGATCGGCACACTCCAGCTAAGCCCCACCCACAACCCTCCGCCCAAGTGCCACCCCTTCTTCGTGCCGCCTCCCCTTTCTTTTTCACTCGTTTATTTCGCCTCAGTTACAATCCAAGTCATCAAGATTAATGCGACCCTGTCGCTCGCACGTTGTCAACGAGATATATCGCAACAAATTTGCCCACATGGCATGTGTAACATTTAACTTAATTAAATCTCGGGCTGTCGAAGATAGTTGAACCACAGGCGAAAGACCAGAAAGTAGATCAGCTCGAAGCCACTGATGAAGGAGCAGCCAATGCAAATGCCCAGAACGCCGCCAACGTTTGCTTTTGGTTAAAGAAATACATACAGTTTGAGCATGTGTACATATAGTATTTGTGAAGGGTTGTACACACTCACATAGCATTTGATACCAATGATAGAGTATATTGGTTTTGTACAGCTGGCGATGTGGTGTTTTAAATTTAAAATTCAGCTCACTTCTCCAAGGATGCAAATGCCCGAGGATTTGTTTGCTCAATCTGTAAAACAGTTGATTGCAGAGTGGCAAACATTGCGGACATTGAGCTGGTGACCAGTTTCCTGGGTTTGTTTAATAGGTATTAATTAGCTTTAGGTTGTAATATGAAATTCAAAACTCACTTTCTACCAATTGCAGGCAAGTTATATTCTCCAAAGTGCAGTGCTTCAACTTTTGCGTACTAAACTTGAATGGATAAGGCACACACTGGCAATTAATTAGTGTGGCTTTTATTCTGCACTCATGGAGGCACTCTTCCCTACTTTCACCCTCTTGAGAAAAATAACAACCTCGCTTTTCTGTGGCATACTCGTTTAATTGAGAATTTCCCTGAAGTTCCATAACTTCTACTTCCACAGCTGCTATTTCGCCAGGGCTGATACTAATTCTACCCAGCCAACTTGGAGTATGCAAACTAAAGCCAGGAAAATTGTCATTTAAAGGATATGCATCTGTTTGCGAGGAATCCATAAAAAGGGAGAGCTCTCCAGTTAAATTACTCTTTCTTACAGCACAGCAATTTCCCTCATTATAAGCTTTTAATGTAAATAGTTTCGAGCAATTCGTAGAAACATTATTCACTTTACACTTGAGTATTAAAGATTCACAAGCTGGTGTTAAGCCAAGTAAAAGTGACGTAATATTCCTTATATCGAGTACGGAATTTATGTCAGAAACATCTTCTTCTTTTACAGACAAAGGATCAAAGTATCCAGACAGCAATGATAATTTGTTTAGCCAGTAATCCAGCGATTTGTTATGAGAATTAACTAAATCCTGTGCAGAAGCTAACATATTCCTGTGACTAAATTTATAACCACTACATATTTTTAGCTCAGGAAAATGTATTTCCTCTTCCAAAACCTTTAATTCCGAGAGATCTGTAATAGTTGAATAGCTGAGAAATTCCAAAATCATTGAGAACACGGCATAACTAGCGAAAATTATGCCAAAACTAATAAACAAAAACCAAAATATTCGTTGGATTCTGCGTTTTCTTATAAAGTAGAGCAGGCCAAAGCCGTTGAGACTTGTTTTTCGAAAATATTCCACAACCGTTTTATTGAAAGCTGCCACAATGCGAGACATTTTGGCAGTACTGATGGCTCTTTTGATGTCTACAGGATATTTTATGGCCTTTCAGTGGGTAATTAGGGTGTTGAGATACCAGATTACTCGAATTTCTCCAGTCAAATAAATAACATCAAATTATATTTAATTCAACAAGTGGGGGCGTGGCTGAGTAGCCATTAATGGAACTGGAAACTGTCGAGTATCGCAAGTCGAACATGCAACGACTGTCAAGTATAATTTACTACAATGTGCTGCAAGATACACAACACACACACAGAGACATGCAAGAACACATACACACCCACACAAGGAAATCGAAAACATCACGCTAATGTGAAGGGTTGCATATTAATGGGAATCCCAAATTCAAATGTAAACGATGATTGCCAAATTCTCTGTAAATTCGTTTAGATGTTTATTCAGTGAATAAACGTACTAGGTCGTAACTTAACTTAACTTAATTATTTGCATAAAATTGCAATACAGTTCCTGGTAATGCTTAACTTAGAGAAGATTTACTTTAAGTGAAACGATAAGTTTTCGAAAAGCTTCACTGCATACTCAAATGACAGCTTAAATCTCCGACACTTGTTACCATAACTAGGAATGGAACTAATCAGAAAAGTGTATATGTTTTTCTTGCCCGTAAGCAAAAAATCTTCTCTATCACACATGTCTCCCTGTCTTTTACTCGCAGTACACCCCTCTCTGTCCAACCACGAAAAACCAACTGGGCAAACAAGTTGGAGAACTAAAACGCAATGCGAACAAACAACATCTGTGGGATAAAACTAAATAAAAGTGAACAACAAATTCCAATAAGAACACACACACACTAATGCATTTCGACACACATATGTATGTACATGAGGGATAGAGAAGAAGAAGCATTCAAACAACCCACACAAAATAATTTCCGGTTCAATTAAACGCTTGTTTATTTATTTATTTATACGTAGCTTCTACGGGTGTTTTCTCTATGATCGGAGGGGTAGAAATGTGGAAGGTGGGAACGTTGTGTATTCGATTTAATTGTGGGGGCATAGACTTGAAAGAAGAAGAAAACGAGCCAGACGAAATTTCACTAATTTGTTTATGAATGAACTTGGCCCACAGAAAAGGCAAACAGAAAAATATGGCACAAATGTCAAAGATAAAATGGGTTTTTATTTAAAAGCTTTGGGATACATCGCTATTTGAAAAGCTCAATGAATTGCTCACTATAAATTAGAATTAAGATTATTTCAACTAAGCGTCTCTGAATAAGCTATCGTAATGACTGAATAACTAAATAATAAAGTTCTTAATTACTGCGAAATCACTATGAACATTTTTTATGCTGTCTAGAAAGTGGCGACCTTAGAACGGATTAGCAAATTGGTTAAGAGCGAATGCCAGAGGCGAAATTTATGCAGCTGCGACGGCACGAAAATTGCTAAAGGGAGAAAGGGGTAGGGAAAGTGGAAAAGATAGAAGTGGTGGCAAAGGGGGGATTCAAGGGGCAGATGGGAAGGCAAGGGCAACTAACCGCAAAATGATTGCATACTTTAATGGGCGAAGCACTTAGGTAGCCTCCTTTCTCCGCACTTCACCCCTTCAAACCCATTCTGCACCCCTTTCTCCAACTTTCTCCACGGTTGTCTCGATTTCCTCGCTTCCGCTGTAAAATTGCATCTGTAAAAATAGCGCAAGAATTGAATAAAACTAACTGGAACAGGAAAAGGGGCGGCAAACGGGCGTGTGCAACGCATAAATGTGAAAGGTTAGACTTGCAATGCGTGTCAGGAATGCAAGAGAGCAAAACAGAGAAAGAGAGGGAGAGAGAAGGAGTGGAGAGAAAGCGGCGTGTAACGAAAGGGTTAAGTGCTTACTCATACTTTGTGGTTTATGGAATGCATAAGCAAGGAACAGCTTAAGGGGAGAATCCACAGCGATAAAGGTGGAGAAAAGTGGTGGTTAAAAGGGGGCACGAGGAGCCAAAGGAGGCTGCCAAGTGCCCAAAGACATTCTTTGCCTTCGTAGGTCGCCGGAAATGCCCCAAACAAGTTGGTTCGAGTATGCTAACCATCCACAAGGAATCTCAAATTTCCGGTGTTAAAAATAAAGTACAAATACACTAAATACTTAGGCACGAATAAGTGAGTGGCAAGTATTTATGAACTTTTGATAATGACAGCGTGAAATGAAAACGCCTTCAAGAGCTTATGATAAATGGTATTAAATTTATTTATTTACATAATCTATTTGTTTTATCTCTAACTAACATCAAGATCCACCGGTGAAATGAAGTGCGGTGAAGGCAAAGCCTGACTGACCCTCAGGACAAGTAGAATACCCACAGAGGTAAACAAAAGAGTGCACTTAACCTCTAAACAAATGAAGCCACCGCCTCGTTTACCTAATATACCTTTCATATCCCACTGTAACCAGATAAACAAGCTCAAGGACCCAAAAAGTCCTCAAACATGCACCTAGAAGCGAAAACAACAAGGAAACTGCAAAAGGAAACATCAAAATCACGTTGCACTCAAAAAGGCTATCGAGTAATTTACACACAAAGACCAACAGCAAAAAAGTAGCAAAACCCACTGGAAAACCATAAAAAGCAGCCAAAAACAAAAAGTACACGGAAAAAAGACCATGCGAAATTAAAAAAAAAAAAAGTTAAAAATTATCGGGTTGCTATAAAAATGTTACAAATTGGTGTTAAGTCACTGTTAAGAACGAAAAAATTAACAGAGAGAGAGAGAGAGAGAGAGTAAAAGAGAGAGGGGACAATAAGGATAAAGAGCGCGCAGGATGCAGAGCGCAGGCTCTCATTTCCGCTGTGACGTCGTCGGTGACGTTGCATAGAAAAATGCGAAACTGCGTGTGCAGCAGGATGCGAGAAAAACCGAAAAAGCGTGACAAAATAGGAAAAGCCTCGAGCTGCGATTCTTTTTTTTCCGATTTTTCTTTTCCTTTGAGAGACGCCTAATGAGCGGAAGGAAAACCGAACGAGTAAGGTGGGAAAACTGTGGGCGGTGACAGGTTGACGATTGACGGTTGAGCAGCATTTAGTGGAAAGCCCATCTGACAGTTAACGCAAAACTTTTTAAAAACTTTTTTTAAAATTAGTCTAGAACTTTTCATAACTCATCTTTTCAACTGTGAGGCAAACAAGCAATATTTTGTATAACTTTCAAAGATGAAAGAGTTAGTTGAGGTCAAACTCTTTCGTTTTACATAAAGTTCAACATAAAAATAATAAATAGCTAATTAACTTATTTATAAGTCTCAATGATAATTACTTTGGCAATCAATTCCCATTTTCACTGACAAATAATATCAATGGAATGCATTTTGCTAATAAATTTGTGAACTTATTTATTAATTAGGGAATAGCAATGGTATGCCAGGAATACCATGAGCTTTAAAAACACAAGCTTTAAATGCACAAGCAATATTGTTTTGTTTTATAAGAATAACCATCTCCAGATGACACAGGTCTTAACTTTTTTGTCCAGTGTACGCAGTTTCTCATTTTAAACCTGAGTTTTCCTACCTTTGAAACAAGCACAACCCATGATGTAGCCCATCATCAGCGTGGCTTTGATGTCGCCCTTCGAGCTGATTCGCTTGCCTCTCAATTAACTTCTTATCCTTCGATTCCTTGAGGTTGTTGGAGTAGTTGTTATTGGTGATTTGGTTGGTGTTGTTGAGGTTCGGGTCTTGGGAAAGTGAACGACATTGGAAAAAGTGTGTTGTTGACAATGGCAGTTATGGGAATACACTTAATCTTTCGCTGCTCTCTGCCTTCTCGGCCATGTATAATTTAGCACGCAATCTGGGTTTATGGGACCTTAGCGTCGGGCCTTATCACTCTTAACGGTTAACGGGAATTTATGCAATAAGCCCCATGAAACTTTTATTTATTATTGCACACCGTTCATCATTATTAGCACAAGCACACAATTGAGTTACACTTGACTTTATCACATATGCTAGTTGTTGTTGATTGGTGTTTTGTAGTTGATTGGTGTTGTTGTCTATAGCTAATAAAGCCTTTTCATTTGATTTCGCTTGACGTTTTCGCTTTTAATATTGATTATCACTTAAAATTGGTTTGGGTTTCTTATATCGCCCTGCTATTTGTCTTGCCTCTCTGATTGCTTTTCCTTATTGGGCTGCTCTCGGAATTATCTCTGCGCGTTGATTGTGGAAAATGTACGCATTCTCGATGATTTCACTCGTTGCTGTTTAATAAATCCTTGTCGTTTTTTTTGTTGCTCTTTTTTCAGTTGTGCGTTTGTATTTCATACTTTATTATACTTGATTGTGCAGTTGTTGTGGTTTGGTGTGAGTTGTATTTTAATTTATAGTATCACAAAAGAGAATCTCTGACAGGCCAGCAGGAACCAATTAAAATTGTTATTAATAATTATGCGAAATTAATCATAAACATTTAAGGAAGCTGTAAACGCTTTTTGTGCTTGTATTTTGGTTTTCGGTTTGGGGAACATATTTCGGGGTTGATAAATTGAATGACTGTATGATGAAAGCGACTCATAGAAGAGGGCATTTACTCGGGAAATGTATTTTTAGCAGGGAGATCAAAATGCGTCAAAGTGCCGGTAACAAATTGGTTATTAAATTCAAGGTAATTGATTGCATTACATTCGTTTATGGAATTTCAGAATTTTTAATTTAGATTGTATATGCTTCACAAAATTTATCATTCATTTCAGGAATTCATCACTAAACACGATACCTTTATAATAAGCAAGCTCGTAAATCTTCTGAAGTTGAAATTTGTATTGTTGAATGCATAAATTGTGATAAATTTCGCGCAATCATTCGCATTTAATCACAACACGAATAAAAGAACTTTTAATCGATTACAAAAATGCCAAAATAAAACATTTTACGCAACCAGCTTAGTCCGCTCAAGAACACCCACAAACAATTTCACACACGGTTTAAGTTTCAAATGGAACTTCAAATGGGCAATGCTACCCACTTAAGAGCTACTGGCCTGAATTGCGGCCATATTTGCTTAAACAAGCAGCCCATTGTCCATAAATAACGGCAGACACAAACAAAAACACTAGCTGAGAAACTG